CCCCCGCCTGCTCCGCCTCGCCCGGCGCCGCGCGCGCCCCGCCCGGCCGCCGCCTGTCTACGCAAACAGCCCCTTCCAGCGCCGGAGCTTCGCGGGCCGCTGGGGCTGCTCCGGACCCCGCCGAGCCTGACCCCGTGCCCAGTCTCAGGTCCCCGCGGGGCGTAAATCTGCAGAAGAGGCCCTGCTTGAGGGGTGCCCTGACCCTGGTGCTGGACACCAGTGCCCGACTTTCCTGGGATCCCTCTTCAGGGGAGCACCACCCGAGAGCCCTATGACCGAGAGGGACAGCAGCACCTTCTGTCCGAGCACCATTTCATCCTCAGCCCCTCACTTGCACTCATGGCTCCATCTGTCCCCGGTCTGTCCTGCTGTCTGTACTCCCAGATCTTTGCACCCTTGGGCCTGGCACTGGCCTCCCCAGTCCAGGTGTGGTGAGGGACACTGAAGCTGGTGCCACCTTAGGCTCCCCTCCTGCCCCCTTCGTGACCCTCTGCCTCCTGCCAGCTTTCCTGCCTGTAAGGCCTTCCTGCTGCCCTGGCACCTTTTGCCGCCCCAGCAGCCATCACCTGTTCCGTGCCTCATTCCTTGCTGGCCCCAGTCCTCTCCACTTGAGAGGCACCAACCTGTTCTCCTGTTTATGCCTGCTGTCACCCCTCAGCCCAGCCATCATGTCAGAACCCCCCCCCCCCCCCCCCCCGCGGGCCCCTGAAGAACCCCCGGACCCCCCCCCCCCCCGAGCATGGCCTTGAAGACATCCCTGATCCCCCTCCCTGCTGGACAGCACAGGCCTGGATTGCACCTGTGGGTTCAGGTGTGGGTGCCGGCATCCCCACCCCCACCAGACTGAGCTCTGGTGGCAACATCCAGCACCCTGCACAGGGCTGAGTTAGGGGGACATGACTACACACTAGGGAGAGACCCCTCTGGGAACCTCTGAAACTGTGATTTCGCCCTTATGTGCATGTACCTGGGCAGATTCTAGAGGGCCTGCCTTGAAGTGTCCTCTCATCCTTCGAGGCCCCTCTCAAGGCCCCCTCCTCATACACACAGGGCTGGGGCTGTTCCCCCAGCCTGGGGCCCCTCGGGGGCAGCCATGAGGTCCTGCTTCCCCAGTCTCCCCAGCACCCACATGGAAAACTTTTAAAATGGACACGAATGAGGAGCTCAGTTGGTTAGAGTGTGGTGCTGGTAACATTAGGGTCCAGGGCTGGACCCCTGTACTGGCCGGCCACCAAAACAAAATAATGAAATAAACATGCATGGATTGAAGGGTTGGGCATCCGTCTGAGAGTGTGGCTATGATGCGCTAGGGCTGGGGCGATAGGTAGGGCAGCGTGTGGCCGAAGGCGAGGCTAGCCCGGTGGCAGGCTTAGAGAAGCTGTGCCAGGGCCCGACCTGCACTGAATGCGTGGGTCAGAGCTCAGTCAGGACTGGGGTTAGGGTCTCTTCATAGGTCATTCTCAGGGCAGGTTAAGGTGAAGCCAAGGTCATGGGTCTTTGTGGAGCTAGGGGGTAAGGTTTGGCGTATGAGTTCAAGAAATGTATCAGGGGATAGGCTGGAGAGATCAGGAGGCCTCCAGCCCACCAGTGGAGGAAGAGGGAAGGAAGGGACCTGAGTGGAAGCATTTCGGACAGCTGTGCTGGCCTTCAGGGCATTCTCAAGCCAGTTACCTGTCTGGGAGTCTGAACCTTCCAGGACTGGCCCTGGCACAAGCACAGGGCTGGGTTTCAGGACATGTCCCAGATGGATCTCCTCGGCAGCAGCCCCAAAGAGAGAAGCACGTCTGGCCTCCCCCTCTCCGTGCAACCCAGGAGCCAGACCCCAGGGGTGAGCAAGCCATGGCCCCGCCTCCCACCAGGCACAGGCTTGTCCACACCCCAGAGCATGGCTAGATGGGCCAGTGGAGAAACCCAAGGCAAGGCAGAGCCCACTCTCAGATGGGGACTCAGGCAGGGAGGCAGCTGCGGTGACAGGCAGCTCCCCTCCTCTCCTCGCCCGCCTCCACGGTGCCCAGCAAGCCTGTGCCCCTCTGGAGCAGGCTGTCTGGAGCGCAGGCTGTCTGTTGCACAACACACTCGCGCCTTGCTTTGGCCCCCACCCAGCAGCCAGCGGTTGGCCAGACCCCCGCCAGGGTGTGTGAGGTTCACGCAAAGTCTCCGTGGCCTCTGAGGTGTGACAATTCTGGGGGATTTCCTTATTAGTCTACTTCTGTTGCTTGTAACAAAATACACGGAACTGAGTATTTTATAAAGGAAACAAAGCTTATTGCTTACAGTTTCAGAGGCTGAGAAGTCCAAAGTCCAGGGAACACATCTGGCGAGACTCTTTAGTGGTGACTTTACAGCAGTGCACGGGTCTCACGTGGCAGAAAATGGTGAAGCAGAGAGAGAGAGAGCTCCTCAGGCACTCTCCTTTTAAAGCCCTCTGAACCACTCCCCTGACCACCATTATTCATTAATTCACTACAGTATGGTCCTAGAATCTAATCACCTCTTCAAGTCCTCACCTCTCAATTACCTTAATAGGAATTCCCACCCTCAAGAGTTACAGTGGCAATTAAGCTTCAAATGTATGAACTATGGGGGACACGGTGCAATCGATCCACAGCAACTTCTCTGCTAGAATTTCCAGGGAGGCTCCAGGTGGCATGGTGGCCTGGTCCCTACATGGTGATGCCATAATTCTGGCCCCCAGGTCCATCAGATCCATCTGAAGAGAGCCCCCCACTACCGTGGTAAATCTTCCAAGTGAGGGCTGGGGTTGGAGGGCAAGGGGGCAGCTGGACCCTCACATGTTCGCTCCGTTTCCACATGAGGCCCTCGTGCCATAGGCTGGGTCAGTCTCGGTCTTGACATCCAAATGCTCTCAGATGGGCTGTGTTGCTGGAGCCTTCAGGTGGTCCTCACCCCAAGTGCCAACAGTTGGACCCTCCAAATGGGACTTGGGTGGGGCTGGCCTTGAAGGTCTCGAGGCCCCAGGAGCAGTGCTTGTGTGCCAGCTCGTTCCAAGCTTTCTGGGACCTGGGCTGTTCCCTTCCCACTCACCCTGGTTTTGCCTTTCAAGTCACCCCAAAGAGAGTTTTCTTTCTTTTTTTTTTTAAAGATGACTGGTAAGGGGATCTTAACCCTTGGCTTGGTGTTGTCAGCATCACACTCAGCCAGTGAGTGAACCGGCCATCCCTGTATAGGGATCCGAACCCGTGGCCTTGGTGTTGTCAGCACCGCACTCTCCCGAGTGAGTGAACCGGCCATCCCTGTATAGGGATCCGAACCCGTGGCCTTGGTGTTGTCAGCAC